ACCCCTTAATACAGTTCCTCATGTTTGTGGTGACCCCCAAGCATAAAAATATTTTTGTTCCTATTTCATATCTAATTTTGCTAATTCTTATGAATCATAATGTAAATATCTGATATGCAGGATGTATTTTCACTCACTGGACCAAATTTGGCACAAATACCCAATACACCCAAATTTGAATACTCGTAGGGTTCGGGTGGGTGGGGGGATTGATTTGGTCATTTGGGAGTTGTAGTTTCTGGGATTTATAGTTCACCTACAATCAAAGAGCATTCTGAACTCCAGCAACGATGGAATTGAACCAAACTTGACACGCAGAACTCTCATGACCAAGAGAAAATACTGGAAGAGTTTGGTGGATAAACCAAAACCCAAGTTGATAAACATACCTCAGATAAAGTTGCCAGATTTTGGAGACTCCGACTCCCATTAGCTTCAAGCATTGGTTAAAAGGGATGACACATGGAAGTGAACATCATATGGAGGGCCCAATTTCACACTTGTGGCTCACAAGACTACAAGAATGCTTTCTAATGCAGTACTGGTGTTTTGAAGGTCACCCTAATTCAATGTGGGCAACTTGTGGCCATTCAGACTGCAGCACCCATCATCCTTTACCACTGATTCAACAAGAACCCAACTGGATATGGACAGCAAGCAGTAGTCTATTCCTTTCCTAGGTACTTGGCAGATGCATTTCCCTGCTTGGATGCTAGAAATATCCACTCATTCAACTCTTATGGCACAACACTATTTATTTATTTATTTATTTATTGGATTGATTTTCTGCCCTTTTCACCCCAAAGGAGACTCAGAGCACATCACAGAACATGTACACAGCAAACATGCAATGCCGTTAAATAGACAGGACAAATAACAGATAGAGGTATATGTTAGCGTTTTTTCCAACTTCAGCGTCCTGGAGGTTGTGCTCGATTCTGGCCACAGGGGAGTGCTGGTCACTCTATCCTCTATGAAGAACAACCCTTGATCACAGATTTCCTCCTTCCTTTGATCATCGGCATTTTCTGGTATTTCCTTTTTATGGTGCCATAAAATACCTCCTTGCTTACGCAACGCCTAATTTCTCTACTCATAGCTGTTTTCAAACTGCTTAGGTGGACAGTGAGCTGGGCTGAAGGTCGGGTGCTCTATCTGATGTTACTCAACTTCACTACCCATCAGCAATCTACCTGATGTTACTCAACTTCACTACTCATCAGCATAGCCTCTGAAGAAGAATGCTGGGAGCAGAAATCTAACAAGGGCTAAGATATACATTGCCAATCCAAATTTTTAAAAAAGGAAAGGTGGGGAGAAATTGAAGTGAGCGTCCTCTGAGATGAGGCCCAGGATTAATTCTACCTCATTAATTGCTTCAGACCTGCAAGTCAGATATTGCTCTTTCATTGACTAATTCCACAGAGGCCTCCGGATCTTGACAATATTAACTTTTCATTAATATTGGAATTAAGGCGACAATGGTGCAGAATAAATTATGACCCAGTCTGTGAGAAGGGCTCATTTGGATTCGGGAGCTGAAGAGCTTTTGCCTTCATTAGGTTAGAAAGCCACTGGACAGAAAGTCAAAAGAATAAATATATATACGTGTGTGCATGTGTACTTGTTAAAAAAAATAGACAGACAATAAAGTCCTGCACTGGACAGTCTTGTACGGCAACCTTGCATATTTCAGGGCTGGACTGCAACTCCCATAATTCCAAAGCTGCTCAAGTGGATGGGAATGGAAGTCCAACCATCTGGATGTTTCCATGCTGGGGACAGGACTGTTGGCTTAGAAGAGCCGAGAAGGAAAGTAATACAGTAGTAATACAGTTATCTGGCACCATAATGTTCTTGAGTATTATGAAAGGAGAAAGAACAGCCTATTATCAAGAAAGGCAGTAATGCAAGAAGTAGGTATAACTAGTCAACTCTGTGGCTGCAGCAAAACTCAAGTAAAAAAGAGTGGAGAATTACTGTGTAAATGCAGCCCACAGGCTCCTTCCTCGTGCCTCATCCCTTTCCCCTTCAAGTGCTTTCCTTATCTCCAATCATTAATTAGAGATCAGAGCTGGGATTTCCCTGGTTGGAGCTGATGAAAGAGCGCTGTTCTTCAGCACAATACAGGGAAACTCTGCTGTTAGGTCTGATCAATGATCAGTGATAACATTTCAGGATATTTGAATGTCCTGCTCTTTCAAAGCTGTCACTTTGGGCTTACCCATGAAGGGAAATGCACAGCTCAATCTCCATTTTGCATGCTGAAAGCTGCCATAGCAGGGTTCACTCCTGAGTCATTGAATCACAGAGGAGAATACAGTGGTCCATGGCCTGGTTACATCCCGTATAGATTACTGAAACATGTTCTACATGGGGCTGCCTTTGAAGACTGTTCGGAAGATTCAACTGGTCCAACGGGCAGCAACCACGTTGCTGGGAACATACTACCTCCCTGTTGCATCAACTCCACTGGCTACCAGTCTGCTGCCGAGCACAATTCAAAGTGCTAGCTTTAGCCTATAAAGCCCTAAACGGTTCCGGCCCAGCCTACCTGTCCAAATGTATCTCCCCTTATGAACCAACTTGGAGATTATTTATTTATTTATTTAGCAGTTTTGTATACCGGTCTTCTCACCTCTGTCGAGGGACTCGGGCCGGTTTCCAACAGTAATATCACAAACAGTCATTTAAAACATCATTTTTTACATATTAAGCTAAAAGATTAAAATAGCAATGCAGTCAAATAATTACAATGGTCTGTCGTCACAATAAAATCGTTGTTCGTCATTCGTCATCATCCATCCATATCACAGAATATTGACTCACTCGTTGAATGCCAATTTCCACAGCCAAGTTTTCACCTGTTTCCTGAACGTCAAGATAGAGGGGGCAGTTCTGATCTCCAGTGGGAGAGAGTTCCAGAGCCGAGGGGCCACCAGCGAGAAGCCCCTGTCCCTCGTCCCCACCAGACGCACTTGTGAGGCCGGTGGGACCGAGAGCATTAAGATCATCTGGGGAGGCCCTGCTCTTGGTCCCACCTTTTTCGCAAGCGTGGCTGGTGGGAACAAGAGAGAGGGCCTTCTCAGTGATGGCTCCTCGGTTGTGGAATTCCCCTTCCTAGTGATATCAGGGCAGCCCCCTCCCTCCTAATATTCAAAAGGAGAGTCAAAACCTGGCTCTGGGAGCAGGCTTTTGAAAAATAGAGCAGTGCAGAAATGTTAATATGGAAAATGTACAATATGACTACGGAATAGCCTTGGACTCTGACTCTGGATGATGTGATTCATTGAAATGTACTTTAATTATGTTTATTATTCTTATTCCTTCTCCCTGGAAGGCATCCCACTGTCCTGCCTTGTGTATGACCGAGGGGGGGGGGGGCTCTTGTCCTTCACAGCCTTGGCTGGGCCATACTTACCATTCCTTCCATCAGCATATTACTGCACCAGCTTTCAACGTGCCTCCATCTCTCTGCATCTTCAGTCTCACTAGGACACAACTCCCATGCTTCGCAATGAACAGGAATTTCATCCTTGGCTTCACAAAGTTCCCTGTTCTGCTCTAACAGGAATGAAATACGACGTACCATTCGTCTTAGGAAAAATTCTTACTTACGCAGGAACGCTTTCAAACTCTTCTGCCGTGATGAAAGCTACTTCCTTGATGTTCCTGGTCTTCTTTGATGGCTTCTTCCCCTGGACAACCTCACTTTCTTTGCGTGGCTCTTCAGTCTTCACCACGAAGCCCACTTCACTGCAATGCAAGCAGAAAGAGTGGATCTGGAACACTTATCCACATGTAACCACAAGTGCGCATCTCAATTATACTCCTCTTAAGGTAAATTATAGCCCATCTGCTCCAAGGCAAATGCGACAACAACTAATGCATGGTTGCTTTTTCCATCTAATTTTCCACAGAATTTTTCAAGGAAGAATATAAATCAGGTATTGGCAACCTTCGGCCCTCAAGATGTTTTGAACTTCAACTCCCACAATTCCTAAAAGCCGATAGGCTGTTAGGAATTGTGGAGTTGAAGTCCAAAACATCTGGAAGGCCAAAGGTTGCCCATACCTGATGTAAACCAATATGTCACTGGCTGAAAAAAGCATTTCAAGTCATGTAGGAACATGAAACTGAACCAGAGTTAGTTCTAATCCAGTTATGAAACTGCAGAACAACATTCAATGTCGTGGGATCAGTCTCAAACAAAACATGGGATTTCTCCTTCTCCCTATAGTTGCGCTCTAATAGTCCCATACTTACAAAGGATACATTCTTAGATGGACTGTGGTTACCTAAAACTGTGGATATGCCCAAAGGCCATTCAGTTACCTGATTTCTTATGTCAGCATATCAGAGTTGTGCTAGAGGACCTAGAGATATTTCCTCTCTAGGTATTTGCTGTCTTTCAGCAAGACTCAGTGGTAACTTATAGGGGAAGCATACCAGACTAGCCCCCACTCTTCAAGCCTTCTGTACACAATTGAAGACATGTCTTCAACCATATGAATATATGTGAGGAACCATAGATTTCACTACGCATTTTACATACTGAGATTAGAATCATAGAATCAGAGTCGGAAGAGACCTCGTGGGCCATCCAGTCCAACTCCCAGCCATGAAGCAGGAAAATTGCATTCAAAGCACCCCCGACAGATGGCTGTCCAGCCTCTGTTTAAAAGCCTTCAAAGAAGGAGTCTTCACCACACTCCGGGGCAGAGAGTTCCACTGCTGAACAGCTCTCAGTCAGGAAGCTCTTCCTCATGTTCAGGTGGAAACTCCTTTCTTGTAGTTTGAAGCCATTGTTCCGTGTCCTAGTCTCCAAGGCAGCAGAAAACAAGCTCCCTCCCTCCTACCTATGACTTCCTCTCACATACTTATATAAAGGCATCATGTCTCCTCTCAGCATTCTCTTCTGCAGGCCAAACATACCCAGCTCTTTAAGCTGCTCCTCAYAGGGCTTGTTCTCCAGACCCTTGATCACTTTAGTCACCCTCCTCTGGACACTTTCCAGCTTGTCAACATCTCYCCTTCAACTGTGGTGCCCAGAACTGGACACAGTATTCCAGGTGTGGTCTRACCAAGGCAGAATAGAAGGGTAGCATGACTTCCCTGGATCTAGACACTAGATTGTTTTAYACCTGYAGCTATTACTRTATTTTACYGATTTTAACCAGGGCGTTTTGTGAARTGAGATATTTATGTTGGCTGTTTTTKSTTTATGTTATTGTTTTTRCAAYTTKRGATTTTATGTGTTTGCACCTTTAAGTGCTTTGCAATCCACCCWGAGTMCCTCTGGRAGATGGAGRCRRRGTATAAATAAAGWTTATTATTATTAYYACCATACGTTYRCACTGGAAGGYATAACAAAATTGTAAGAYCGGTTCCASTCCAGKTGAGCATAAATGACACCATTGGTAGAGGTTCTGCAGTTACRTACRGGGGGCTTACTRAATTTCCAATATAGTTATAAAKCCTGGTCTAGTATARSCCCAGCTCCTGTCAACCTAGCARYTCAAAARCATRCAAATGTGGTAGATCAATAGGWACCACTTTGGTGGGAAGGTAACGGCGCTCCATGCAGTCATGCCRGCCACATGACTTTAGAGGCATCGATGGACAACAATGGCTCTTTTGCTTAGAAACGGAGATGAGCATCACCCCGCAGAGTTGGACTCAACTAGACTTAATGTCAAGGGGAAAGCTTTACCTTATAACTCCATAGCTCCAAAATGGCTTTGGGAACAACTGAGTACAAAATATGAGACCAACAAGGGGACAAGATTGAAAGTAATTTCAGAAGAATAAAATGTATGAAAGTAAATGCATATATACTTGATCTGACATGCAATTATCATATTTAATTCTATATGTTATAAGCATATGCAGTATAGCTGCAATTTTATCACTCTTCATTGGCAATCACAGGACTTTTGCAGAAAAGGGTTTCTCTATATCGCTGCTATATAGGAAATTGCTCTAAATTGAAATGATGATCAGGAATTATCTATTCTACCATGAAATAACAGATTATGGTCTCTTGCGCTCAGGGAGAACAAAGTACATGTAAGAATCGTAAGGCATAATCACAATCACGGTGACAGTTTTTTTTGTAACATGAGCTGGAATCCTGTAAGTACACTGGGTTAGTGCTTTCATTTCCTCTGGGACTGTACAGCAGTAGCAAATGAAGGCACACGAAAAATACACTAAGCAGTTTATTTCCCCAGTGCTTGACATCTTTCACAGCTTTTACACCTATAGCCTTCTTCCATTTTCTGCCAGTAATGCACAAACTGGATGGTATCCATTTATTCAGGAGCCGGCTTGCTATAGTCTAATGCAGAGGTTCCTAAACTGTGTTCTGCGGAAACCTAAGGTTCCACAAAAGCACTGCAGGGACTACACAAAAAATGCCGAAATATGAAGACCTTATTGAAATTCAATGTACCTCTGCTTTAAAAACAAAATTTGAATATGTGTCACTGAAATGACTATTGGGTAGGATTGAAAAACGTACACAGTATTCCCTTGCTACTTCACAGTATGCTTTTAGTGGACTCGCTGTTTCGCGGTTTTCAAAAAATATTAATTTTCCGTCCTGGGCCCAGTCCTGTTCAACATCTTTATTAATGACTTAGATGAAGGGTTAGAAGGCAGGATCATCAAGTTTGCAGACGACACCAAATTGGGAGGGATAGCCAATACTCCAGAGGACAGGAGCAGGATTCAAAATGATCTTGACAGATTAGAGAGATGATGGGCCAAAACTAACAAAATGAAGTTCAACGGGGACAAATGCAAGATACTCCACTTAAGCAGAAAAAACAAATTGCAAAGATACAGAATGGGGGACAATGCCTGGCTCGAGAGCAGTACGTGTGAAAAAGATCTTGGAGTCCTCGTGGACAACAAGTTAAACATGAGCCAACAATGTGATGTGGTGGCAAAAAAAGCCAATACTATTGCCCAAATGTAATAATAACAATAATAGAGTAAAATAATAAATGTTGTAATAACAATAAAGAGTAAAATAATAAATATAATAACAACAACAATAGAGTAAAACAATAAATGTTATAATAACAATAAAGAGTAAAATAATAAATGTAATAATAATAATAAATAGAGTAAAATAATAAATGTAATAAAATTTAATAACAACAACAGTGCTATTGGTTTCCCCATCAGCACTTGTTGATCTATGGTATGATCTGTTAATATGGCAACAAATAACTTCTCCATATAGTATGTGGCTTGCCATGTTTTCCCACAACCGATGTACACTTCTTTTATTCTCATAAGTATTCAATTTGTTTGTGGAATAATATGATTGCACTCTCAGCTCATTTGATGAATTTTTGTTCTATCCGATATTGTTTTAAGATTTGAAGTATTCATAAAAAAACCCTACCAACCTTACGGTTTAGCTTTGGCTGAACTAAGTCCATGCCTGTGAACAGCAGACAACAGTGACACCTGCCTGTCATTTGGAAGATTTTGTGTGTTTGTGTCAGGAGCAACTTGAGAAACTGCAAGTTACTTCTGGTGTGAGAAAATTGGCTGTCTGCAAGGACGTTTCCCAGGGGACACCCTGATGTTTTACCATCCTTGTGGGAGGCTTCTCTCCATGTCCCCACGTGGGGAGCTGGAACTCACAGAGGGGGCTCATCTGCACTCTCCCCGGATTCAAACCTCCAACCCATTTAACCCATTGCGCCATTTGGAGGCTCCATTTGGAAGATAAAGGAGAGGAAAACCATTTCCCGTCACCATGAAAAACAGCCTCTGGTGGTGCAATGGGTTAAACCCTTCTGCCGGCAGGACTGCTGCAGTTCAAATCCAGGGAGCAGGGTGAGCTCTTGTCTGTCAGCTCCAGCTTCTCATACAAGGACATGAGAGAAGCCTCTCACCAGGATGGTCAAATATCTGGGCATCCCCTGGGCAACGGACTTGAAGACAGCCAATTCTCTCACAACAGAAGCAACTTGCAGTTTCTCAAGTCACTCCTGACATACACACACACAACCATGAAAAACACATGTGCTTTTTTAGTAGGCCAACCAAAAGCAGAAAAATAAATTATGCAAGGTTTCAGAATTCACGGGGTTCTACATCAGGCGTGGCTGTCAAAAGGCATTTTAGGGAAGTAATGTGATGATGGGACCAAACTGCATCTTTCTTAAGATGTCAAAGTAGAGTTTAAGGTGGTGGTAGGGGAAAATCTGATTTCAATATCCTTGCTGCTGTGAGGCATTTGTGACACAAAAACAAGGCAAAGGAATATGTTATGTTCTATGTGAGGCTGTATAGCCTGATATAGTGAGTGCCCTAAGCTTCTATCCTGATATATCTGGTTCTGTAAAGGGGAATTTGTGTCCAGCATGGTCAATTTATCTTATCTGGAGGTGAAAACCTCAGTCCCAGTGCATGTTCTCCCTGGGAATAACCACACTTAGCTCCATTCAGATACCACTGATTTGGAACAGTCCCTTACCAATGTTTAAGTATTTAGATAGAACAATTAAAATAAACTAAGTTCAAGCACTAAGGGCTCTGAAAGGCAAAATATTAGCTAACATGGCACAATAGGAACTCCAGTGGACTAGACACCATGTTATAGATGTTTTTCTACACTGTTCTCTTAAAAGAGAAGTAAGAAAGCAGAAACCGAAAAGTTACAAAAAGGAGGCAGGTATGCATTCAGCTTCCAAGCAACCTATTTTGATATGAGTCTTTTTGAAAAGAGAGACAATCATGTTCTGATGTCCAGTTAGTAGGCATGGATAGAGTTGCATCGGATAACTCGTTGCTTGTAATAATTTCATTAAAATTACCTTTTTGAAGCGACATTGAAGCTTTTTTAAAAACCAGAAGTCCCTTTGCCCTTCCGAAGCTTTTCCAGCCATTTTTGTTACGACTCAGGAAGTAAGTCGGAAATGATTCAGCTTTTCCCCGCTTCTGGCCTCGGCTCAAGCCAGAGAAGCCAGTTTTAAACAAGAGAAGGAAGGAATTTCTTGGCCTCGGCTCAAGCCAGAGAAGCCTGTTTTAAAGCCAGAGAAGCCAGTTTTAAACCAGAGAAGGAAGGAATTTCCTGGCCTCAGCTCAAGCCAGAGAAGCCAGTTTTAAAGCCAGAGAAGCCAGTTTTAAACCAGAGAAGGAAGGAATTTCCTGGCCTCGGCTCAAGCCAGAGAAGCCAGTTTTAAACCAGAGAAGGAAGGAATTTCCTGGCCTCGGCTCAAGCCAGAGAAGCCAGTTTTAAAGCCAGAGAAGCCAGTTTTAAACCAGAGAAGGAAGGAATTTCCTGGCCTCGGCTCAAGCCAGAGAAGCCAGTTTTAAAGCCAGAGAAGCCAGTTTTAAACCAGAGAAGGAAGGAATTTCCTGGCCTCAGCTCAAGCCAGAGAAACCAGTTTTAAACCAGAGAAGGAAGGAATTTCCTGGCCTCGGCTCAAGCTAGAGAAGCCAGTTTTAAACCAGAGAAGGAAGGAATTTCCTGGCCTCGGCTCAAGCCAGAGAAGCCAGTTTTAAAGCTAGAGAAGCCAGTTTTAAACCAGAGAAGGAAGGAATTTCCTCCGCTTGACTTTCCCCGCTTCTGGAGTAAAACAACTGCTTTCAAAGTAAAGACCACCCAATGAAACAGGAAATAACACTTTCAAACCATTAACGAAAGGATTTGGAAGTCTTGCAAGTTTTTAAAAAATTCTTCTGTGAAAATCAGAATTGATTTTAAAATTGAACCACCAGTGCCCCCTACATCCAAAATGAGTTTTGAACCATTTTTTTTGATCAACCAAGCCTACCAGTTAGTCATACAAATTACGATGATTTTTTTGAATGGTTCAGTTTGCAAAGTAAGGGTGTAATTACATCTCATTTTTATGACTGCTTCGTGTAAGTGGAAGAACAACACATGCCTTCTACTTAAAACAGAGGTGGGCAATGCAATTCCTTTCAGAGACTTTGGGCTACAACTCTTACCAGACTCAACCAGGGTCACCAGTGGTTAAGGATTATGGGAGTTACATTGAGACATAGCACCAAGTTGCCGGGACCTAGCTTATGATCTTGATGGCTGGAAGCATACCTGTTTGGGACTGCTTTGGGCAGGTGAATCGGCATGTTATCTCTGAGATGCTGAGCTTCATTATAGTCCCTCTCCAGGGATTCCTGTAATTCCTGCAATTAAAAATAATATTGTGTCAGGTAAGTAGGCTGAGAGCTCATTTAACCTAGTATTTCTTAACAATTAACTTGGGTACCTGGCATTGCCCAGGTTATTTGAAAAAGTATTTTTTTACAAAATTCATAAGGTTGTGGGTGAACTACAACTCACATCATACCAGGTTAACCCACTGAAACTCCATCAGGAGTTAAAGTTTGTCATGTTGGGCAAGTTTGCTCTAGATGCATTATTGGTGGGGTTTAGTGTGATCTGTGACTGCAAGACAAACTACGGCTCCCACCATGGTGGGTCAGTCTCCTCAAATCTCTCCATAGAATCATAGAGTTGGAAGAGACCTTATGGGCCATCCAGTCCAACCCCCTGCCAAGAAGCAGGAAAACTGCCTTCAAAGCACTCCCAGTAGGTTCAGTTGGTCATAGGGGTTCTGTGTACCAAGTTTGGTCCAGATCCATCATCAGTGGTGGTCACAGTGTCTCTGGATGAAAGTGAACTACAACTTCCAGAAATGAAAATCAGTTCCCTGCAAACCCCTCCAGTATTTTCAGTTGGTTATGGTGGTTCTGTGTTCCAAGTGAGGTCCAGGGCCAACCTTAGTGGGGTCGAGTGCTCATTGATTTATAGATGAACTATAAATCCCAGTACATGAACTATAAATCCCAGTACCTACAATGGTTATAAATCAAGGTCAATTCCCCCCAATCTCTCAATAATTTTTCTTTGGTCATGGGGGTTCTGTGTGCCAAATGTGGTCCAGGCCCCTTGTCAGTGGGGGTCACAGTGCTCTCACTTGATGCAGGATAAACTACAACTTCCATCATGTAGAATCAGTCCCTCAAACTCCTCCGGTATATTTAGTTCTGGTTAGTTCTGCTCTGTTTGTTGTGCAGATAGAGTTGAAAAGAGTAGGAAAGGGAGAGGCAGTGGGTGGAATCATGCAAATTCCACACCACTAGAGAAACACCAGGATGTATGTAGCGGAGGAAACACATAAAATCTAGGATGAAATTGTCTCTGAATGAAAGCATTCCTTGGGTGGTGGACAGTATGGTGTTTGGGGAGGACATTGGCAGGGTTGGGTTACATCTTCATAGCGCTCGTTATAACCTGCAATGTCATTGGAAGGAGGGCTTTTGGTGACTTCTCAGCACTGTGAGTTAAAGATGTTTGTAGAAGTGGGAGGCTGTCTGTGGAAGTGGGCACCCCAGCCTCATACACACATACATATTCACTTTTAATTTGTGTATAGATAGATAGATAAGCAAGAAATCAGGCTGTCCATCACCAAGGCTACACAAACTCTCTGAATTCAGTTTATGAGCAAAATAAGCTTGCTGTTGTCAGCATCCACATAAGAACTCAAAATCTCCATCAGTATTTTGATTATACCAAAGGGCATCACAAGAATGCAAAAATGAAACACTTCACATAGATGAATAACAATTCAAATGAGGTTTCTTCCACTCAGTAAAGGATGTGAAAAACATGTTAGGCGGCATCTGAAATGTTAGCATCACACCTAACACAATGCCTCTTCGCTGTTATCTCTCCAAAGGGCATGTCGATATAATTAATATATTTTTCTCTGAAGAGTGAGATATTTTTCTCAGCAGAGTTTTCATTGCAGGCAGAACCTTTTTATTTATCTCGCTCATCAAAAGCAAGCCAGAAATAATTCTGTCAGGAGCTCATTCGTGAATAACAGTCCCTTAAGGAATCCCAGATCATTATATAACAAGTACAAGATAATATATTCTCTCATCTAAGGAATTTATAGCTGCGGGCATATGCGTGTGTGCATATGTGCCTTGAAGTCACATGTGGACTTATGGCAACCTTGTGAATCTCCAAGGTGGTTTGCCTTTGCCTTCCTCTGAATATAGCCCACAGGGCCTGGTATTTCCCCCTCCAAGCGCTAATCAGGCCTGATCTGGGTTAGTTTCCAAGATCAAACAGGATCTGGTACATTTATTTATTTTATTTGGAGTGCTTCTACCCCGCCCTTCTCAACCCCCTAGGGGGGACTCAGGGCGGCTTACAAAAAAGGCACAATTCGATGCCCTATATTTTGATGAGTCAAATGTCCAATTTATGCAGCTTGCCACTCCTGTTTGACTGACAGCTGGGTAAACTTCAGCACAAGGTAAAAAGAATCCAATGCACAAAAAAGCACCTTTCAGAAAAGTAAGAGATTTAAATAGCAAGAGGGTTTTTTTTTTGCCCCCCAATACTACAAAACATGGACAAAACTAGAAAACCCTAATTACTGAATTCTACTCGTAAACACACCAATAAAATTAAGACTCGATGGTACAGTAAAGATACTGACACTCAAAACAACGGCAAGGAAACAGAATATTTTGTCATTCCAACACAGATCATCCATATCCAGGTGTCAAGGGATGAATATAGAAACCTGGCATTCTGCAGATACAACATGGAAGCCATGGAGTTGTCTACTGGATTTGTTCTTGGTTTGTTTTTAAGAGCAACAATGCTTGGCGTGACAAATCAGCTCTGGACTAAGTTCCCAAAACTTGCCTTAATACATTTCTGCCCATGCAAACTTGGAGGAATCCCCCAACAGCCTGTCTCGTCCTCTGTTGACAAAACAATACCGCTTCCGCATACATACGCATTATAGGGAACACATACACACACACAAATGTACATACACACATACATAAATATTATATTAAATTAATGCAAACAGGAGTTTAGACCTCTGACTACAGGGATATCATAATTTATCTGAAAACCAAGCCTCTGATATGGTTGTTGGCAAAGTACTGCAAGTGGAAATGCAATTTTGTAAAGGTAAACTCAGCAATATACCCCTTTAGTTCAGCGTTTCTCAATATGGGGGTCAGAACCCCCCCCCCCGGGGGGGGGCATGCCAAAGAGGGGTTACCAAAACACAGTATTTTCTGTTGGTCATTTAGGCTTAATCCTAAATTTGATTTTAAGTGTAATACAGTGATAGAAAAGGGGGGAAATTTGTCTGACAGCTTTATCAGATTAGAAAATCTCTTAGTTTTAAGCGCCCCATGAGTTTGAAAAAGATCTTGGAGTCCTCGTAGACAAGTTAAACATGAGCCAACAATGTGATGTGGCAGCAAAAATAGCCAATGGGATTTTGGACTGCATAAATAGGAGTCTAGTGTCTAGATCCAGTGTAGTCATGCTACCTCTCAATTCTGCCTTGGTCAGACCACACTTGGAATACTGTGTCCAATTATGAGCACCACAATTGTAGAGAGATTTTGACAAGCTGGAAAGTGTCCAGAGGAGGGCGACTAAGATGATCAATGGTCTGGAGAACAAGCCCTATGAGGAGTGGCTTAAAGAGTTGGGCATGTTTAGCCTGAAGAAGAGAAGGCTGAGAGGAGACATGATAGCCATGTATAAATATGTGAGAGGAAGTCATAGGGAGGAGGGAGCAAGCTTGTTTTCTCCTTCCTTGGAGACAAGGACGTGGAACAATGGCTTCAAACTACAAGAAAGGAGATTCTATCTGAACATGAGGAAGAACTTCCTGACTGTAAGAGGTGTTCAGCAGTGGAACTCTCTGCCCATCTGACGGGGGTACTTTCAATGCAATTTTCCTGCTTCTTGACAAGGGGTTGAACTGGATGGCCCATGAGGTTTCTTCGAACTCTGATTCTATGAGTGAGAAAAGACGATACTGTGGGACAAAAGGACTCTACAATTAAGCTTTTTAAAGCACAGGTTTATGTGTTTCAAGTAAGTTCTTTGTCTTCCACAAAAGGCTGCAGTCCTCTTTTCAGCCCTGTTCCTTTTGACTTTGCCTGTTCTTTCTCAAATATCTCCTCACAAAATGCTGTGACCTATCCCACCTTCTCGGGTAATTTATGCAAGCATGGAAACAGCTTAAGATCTACCTGAGAGTTCTTAAAAGCAATAACTTTGTCAACATTGGCTACCTGGAATTGATTCTGTTGTCTCTCCTGATGGTGGCACTCCAGTTCCAGTTGATTGAGGATGTTGTTTAAGAGAAACATCTCATGGACTATCTTGCCAACCAATATCTTCAAAGATGGTTCTTGTTCTAAGATAAATAAGGCAAGTCCATTATTATCAAAAATATGCTGCATTCCTGCTTTCCTAAGTCTTATATACTTATAATCTGAAATCCCACATATTGTGGACTACCATGCAGTCAAACAAACATCTAACCTAACCAAGAGATGGCCCAACTGCACATTGTCCTTTCATTCAGTACTCCTGTCTTTTGTCCCCCATGTTGTTGAACCTGTTGGAAACCTCCCAAGCCTCCACTAACTCTTCATGACCTCATGGACCAGCCCATGCCACAGCTCCCTGTCGGCCGTGGCCACCCCCAGCTCTTTCAAAGCCAAACCAGCCACTTCAAGGATACCATCCATCCATCCATCTTGCCCTTGGTGGGCCCCTCTTCCTTTTTCCTTCCTTTTTCCCCAGCATCATTGTCTTCTCTAAGCTTTCCTGTGTTCTCATTATGTTTGTAAGTGTGTATAATTGTTAACCTATATTGTATGTACATTTTGGTTTGCCAATTTGACTGTATCTCTTTGGTATGTGAGGGGCTTTAGACACAGGGCTCCATTTTTGTTATACAGTATGCTTTTAGACCTCAATGAAGGTGGATGTAGTGTGTCTCCTTTCAGACTTCAGTGAGTAGTTATACAGTTTGGACTATATGTGTATTGTCGAAGGCTTTCATGGCCGGAATCACTGGGTTGTTGTACGTTTTTTCGGGTTATATGGCCATGGTCTAGAGGCATTATCTCCTGACGTTTCGCCTGCATCTATGGCAAGCATCCTCAGAGGTAGTATCTATGTGCCTAAGACATTGGACAATGGACTAGTATGCTGAATATATACAAAAAGTTAGTAAACTTGAGATATTATTTTAAAGACTACTTTGTTTTGTCACTCGAGTACATGTTTTAAACAAGAGGTTTTTAAGGGAGAGCAGATGGGCAACTTCAACTTCAGAGAAACAACCATCCTTTTCTAACCAAATTTATTTTTGTAGTGGCATGTCTTTATCCTTGGACATGGTTCTTCAGTTTAACAACTGAGTGCTGAACTAAGCTCCAACTCTAAAGACTCCATAGTATTCAACCATGGCAGTAAAACTAGTGTCAAGCTGCATTCATTCTACAGTGTAGATACACCATTATAGTCCCAAAAGGCTTCCTGGAGCAACAGGCAAACAGATTATCTACATCATCCTGCAAGACACCCTATTCTGCCACCCCATTGTACTGTGGAGGCAACAATGCATCAAAACCAATGCACTTTTATTGCTCCCATGGCAGTTTTTATGATGTTATGTTTTATTGTGATATGTTCCTATTTGGTTTGGTTTTTATTTTATTGAGTTATGTTTTAACTTTGTGTCCTCTGGGCTTGTCCTTTTGTAAGCCAACCCGAGTCCCTTCGGGGAGATGGACACAAGGGAAAGAGCTTTCTCCTCTGTGGCTGCCCGACTCTAGAACACATTACCTGGAGAGATCAGGAAAGCCCCTACACTAGAACCTTAAAACCTGGCTCTTCCGCCAGGTTTTAAGGTGCACAACATGACACTATTGCTCCCCTTAACGCTTCTGTCACCGGAGTACACACACCCCAAATGGGAAGTTTAGTTTCACAACCCGGTGTGTCTTTATGAGTTCCCTGCAAATAACCTGCTCCTATTTTTATCGCATTAGAGTTTTTAACATTTTATCCTGTACATGCGGCCCGTCCACTGTTACTGCAACTGTGTTTATTGTAATGTAATTTTGTTATTGTATTCATATGTTTTTTATGTAATTTTGATAATGTTGTTTATGTTTTGGTTTCATTTCGATGTAATATGTTGGCCCCATGTAAGCCACTCCGAGTCCCCATTGGGGAGATGGTGGCGGGGTGTAAAGATGATGATGATTATTATTATAAGCCCTGGCACATCTTAATAGGCTGGGAAGACTTACAGCATGTATAGTTTAAATACCATAAGAACACCAGATCCCATCTGATCTTGGAAGCTAAGTAGGGTCAGGTCTGGTTAGTACTTAGTACTTAGAGACCTTGAACAAATGCCAGGCTGTTTTTCAGAGGAATGAATTGGCACAACTAATTCAGCCCCCTCCCTCCTGACCTTTAGGAAAAGAGTGAAAACCTGGCTCTTTGAGCAAGCTTTTGGAACCTAATTGTAACCAGACAACTCAGTATTGTGAACGAATATGGAATGGCTTAACGATGCAAATGGACATGGATTTTAACTCAGAAGTCATTGATTTTTATAGTTTTAAACTGTTTTATTATGAATTTTATCATGTGATTTAACCTGTTTTAAATGATGTATTTATGTGTGTTCGGCATCTAATTGTTGCCAGTCTGTACGCCGCCCTGAGTCATCTTTGGGCTGAAAAGGGCGGGATAAAAGTGTGGTAAATAAAATAAATAAATAAACTACCACTGAGTCCTTAAGAAAATCCTATGAAATTCATGAGACCATCATAAGTCAACATTCATCTTGAAAGCACATATACACACATATAGAAGACGTCAAGTATCAGCCTTGGGATTTTAACATGTTGTTAAAATATCAGCCTAACTAAATACAGTTCACAGAATGGCTACTGGATCATGAATCTATATAAATAATAATGTAATGTTCGTTTGTGGGATTAACATAACTCAAAAACCACTGGACGAATTGACATCAAATTTAGACACAATACACACATCAGGCCAACGAGTGAACATCACTCATAAAAACACTGAAAAATGCAGCAGAGGAAACAAAAAATACATTACAACGCATTCACAAAACCACAAATATATACACATACGAAAAACATATACGCAGACTGGACCACAGCAATGCGTAGCAGGGGACAGCTAGTTAGCCATAAAAATCCAGTTGATGTAGTTGGAGACTAGATTCAAATTGTAGTGGCCAGACAAGAAACCTCAGAAAAAGCATGTGAAAGAAATTCCTTAATGTTTATCAGTGCTCTGTGGTTTGTGCAATTACAATCTGGCCCTCAAACCGGTTCCAGGATTTCCTATGTGATCATCTTCACAGCGAAAGCTCTTTCTTCAATGTCAACTTGAAACTGCGTCAAATGGTCAGTGTAGATGTTCCCAATGATATTTACAATAGGTTCAATATGAATCAATAGCCACACCTATTTCAATTAATTCACGTATCTTCAGATTACACAATCTATAAATGATATGAAATTAACAAATATGCCCTATAAACGTTAAACATCTTACCTATCTTTCTCAGCTGAAGCGATTTCTTGATATTTGAAATCTTGGTGTTCAGGTGAGTACATAAACCATTTAAATCTGAAGAGCCAATATTGTATTTCCCTGTTTTAAAACAAATATATTAGAATCCTTGAAGAGGCCAAAGTGAGCACTTTTACGAGGTGGAATGTTGAACAATGACAACATTTTTCAAACATGTACAATATTTCTTTGACCAAATCAGCAAAAAGGCTTGTACCTAGAAACACAACAATCGGAACACAGAATAATGGATAACGGGTTTGGATTCTGATTTCATTGATGAGACCTGATGGATTTGTTATGTTGATGTAGTGATGTATTGATGCTGATGTTTAATGATTTGTGATGCTATTGCTTTTAAATGTTTAATTGACTTTGTATTGTGTATACCTAAATTGTTGTAAACCGCTCTGAGTCGCCTAAGCGCTGAGAAGAGTGGTATACAAATAAAGTAAGTAAGTAAGTAAGTAAATAAATAAATAAACAATCCTCAGAGGTAGTAAAGTCACTACCTCTGAGGATGCTTGCCATAGATGCAGGCGAAACGTCAGGAAAGAATGCCTCTAGAACAGGGGTCCTCAAACTTTTTAAACAGCGGGCCAGGGCACAGTCCTTCAAACTGTTGGAAGGACAAATTATAATTTTTTAAAAAAACATGAATGAATTCCTGTGCACACTGCACATATCTTATTTGTAGTGCAAAAAACACTTAGAATACAATAATTAAAATGAAGAACAATTTTAACAAATATAAACTTGTTAGTATTTCAATAGAAAGTGTGGGCCTGCTTTTGGCTGATGAGATAGGATTGTTGTTGTTGTGTGCTTGCAAGTCATTTCAGACTTAGGTTGACCCTGAGTGAGGGCCGGATAAATGACCTTGGAGGGCCGTATCCGGCCCCCAGGCCTTAGTTTGAGGACCCCTGCTCTAGAACATGGCCATATAACCTGAAAAAACCTACAACAACCCATTATTATTATATTTATTTATAGGTGGCTTATCTTATTGCTACATTTATTATTATGATTATATTCAACAGTGACAAATGCAAGATACTCCACTTTAGCAGGAAAAACGAAATGCAAAGATACAGAATGGGGGACAATGCCTGGCTCGAGAGCAGTACGTGTGAAAAAGATTTTGGAGTCCTTATGGACAACAAGTTAAACATGAGCCAACAATGTGATGTGGCGGCAAAAAAAGCCAATGGGATTTTGGCCTGCATCAATAGGAGCATAGTGTCTAGATGTAGGGTGGAAATGCTACCCCTCTATTCCGCTTTAGTTAGACCACATCTGGAATATTGTGTCCAATTCTGGGCACCACAATTGATGAGATATTGACAAGCTGAAATGTGTCCAGAGGAGGGCGACCAAAATGATCAAGGGTCTGGAGAACAAGCCCTATGAGGAGCGGCTTAAGGAGCTGGACATGTTTAGCCTGAAGAAGAGAAGGCTGAGAGGAGATATGATAGCCATGTATAAATATGTGAGAGGAAGCCACAGGGAGGAGGGAGCAAGCTTGTTTTCTGCTTCCCTGGAGACTAGGACGCGGAACAATGGCTTCAAACTACAAGAAGAGGAGATTCCATCTGAACATGAGGAAGAACTTCCTGACTGTGAGAGCCGTTCAGCAGTGGAACTCTCTTCCCCAGAGTGTGGTGGAGGCTCCTTCTTTGGAAGCTTTTAAACAGAGGCTGGATGGCCATCTGTCAGGGGTGATTTGAATGCAATATTCCTGCTTCTTGGCAGAATGGGGTTGGACTGGATGGCACATGAGGTCTCTTCCAACTCTGTGATTCTATGATTCTATGATACATATAAAATATAAATGATATTAAAATAAATGTTATAATAATAATAAATACAAGGTAAGCTACATAAATATATAATTATCATAATTATCATAATAGTAATATAAGGTAAGCCACTTTATCTCACCATCACTTCCAGTGTTTTGTGCCATTTCCCCACTTCAGATTCTACTGGATTCAAATTATCCGCCAAAACAATCAGATCTACACAATTCTCGCGAGACCAACGAAGTCTCGCCGGGCTTGAGATAGGAAAAGGTAGAGAAACTCACGATTACTCCGGAGTATAAAATAAAACAACTCTCGCGAGAGCAGAGAACTCTCGCCGGACAAAATCGGGCTGCAATCCTGCTGCCCGTCACTTTTTGCCATAAGAGATAGAAAATAATAGAGTGACACAACATCGCACAGTTGGAGGGAGATTGCGAGTAAGACTAGGAAGTTTGCTTAAAGGGGCCGCTTAAGAAGGCTGCTACACAATGATTCCATAGCATTGAGCCATGGCAGTTGAAGTGGTATCAAACTGTATTAATTCTACAGTGTAGATGCACCCTAATGTCGTCACATAGAATCCTAGAGTTGGAAAAGACCTCATGGGCCATCCAGTCCAACCCCCTGCCAAGAAGCAGGACAATTGCATTCAAAGCACTCCCGACAGATGGCCATCCAGCCTCAGTTTAAAAGCCTCCAAAGAAGGAGCCTCCACCACACTCCGGGGCAGAGAGTTCCACTACTGAACAGCTCTCACAGTCAGGAAGTTCTTCCTAATGTTCAGATGGAATCTCCTTTCTTGTAGTTTGAAGCCATTGTTCCAAGTCCTAGTCTCCAGGGCAGCAGAAAACAAGCTTGCTCCCTCCTCCCTATGACTTTCCCTCATATTTATACATGGCCCTTACCATGTCTCCTCTCAGCTTTCTCTTCTGCAGGCTAAACATGCCCAGCTCTTTAAGCCGCTCCTCATAGGGCTTGTTCTCCAGACCCTTGATCATTTTAGTCACTTCACTTTCTTTCAAATATGCCATACCAGTACTCAAAAAAATGCAGAATTTTTGTGTTGTAAAGGTTTTATTGAACATTGCATCTTTTCAACAGGAACATTCTTTGCTGCCTCCCGGAAATTGTTTGGAGGACAATGTTATCACTGACATAAGAAGCGCATTAGATAAAACAAATGTCACCAAAACCAGAAATAAGCAAAGTAGGCTCAGTGCTATGGGATGTTGGGACGTATAATTTGGTAAAGACATTGTAAAACTACAACTCCCATGCCTCTATAGCACTGAGTCTGTTAAAGTGGTGCTAAACCGCATTAATTCCACAGTGTAGACGCATCCTAAGAACATAGTAGTTACAGGCAAGAGTCAATTGCTACAGATATTTAAAAATTCTCACGTTAATAAACTTCAAAGTGCAACAGCACAATAGTATTTAATATACTATACTGGAAAAGTGGGTTTCTATACCTTTCCGCAGATTTGCAATGGTTCTAAAAACATTAAGAATTCAATCCACACTTTGGAGACTTTGGGTTCGTCTGCGCTGTTGAACTAATGCAATTTGACAACACTTTTAATTGCCATGTCTCCAAGCTATGGGACTTGTAATTTTGCAAGCCCAAACCAAAATGCAACTCTCAGAATCCCATAGCATTGGGCCATGGCAGTTAAAATGGTGTTAAACTGCATTAATTCCACAATGTAGATTCATATCTACATAATAGTATTGATTTCTTGATTAAGACCTCCTTGTCTTCAGATCCCTGAGTGCAATCAACTATATATAGAGAGAGAACAGTGGTTCCCAACCTGTGGTGTGTAGATCACCAGTGGTCCGCAAAAAGTAAAATATGGTCACCATTACTACACCATTGCAACAAGAGCGATTGGTCTCGCGAAACCCTCTTATAGTGCCAAGGCTTATTACATATGGTTTTTTGTGGACGAGCAGATGGTGACTACTGGATGGCATATGTTCTGTATCAGAAACTAGAGCTGATGTGGTCTATCCATGCAATTTTTTCAATTAGCACCCCAAAGAACCAAACCAAGTCTAAAGTTGACCAAAAACTAATTCACCCCGGTGGCACAGTGAGTTAAACCGCTGAGTTGCTGAGTTTGTTGACCTTTGAAAAGGTCACAGGTTCGAATTCGGAGCTTCCAATGTCCATCCCAGCTTCTGCCAATGTAGCAGCTCGAAAACATGCAAATGTGAGTAGATCAATAGATACCGCTCCGGTGGGAAGATAATGACGCTCCATGCAGTCATGCTGGCCACATGACCTTGGAGGTGTCTACGGACAATGCCTCCTCTTTAGTTTAGAAATTGAGATGAGCACCAGAGTCTCACTCAACTAGATTTAATGTCAAGGGGACAACCTTTACCTTTACGTATTGGTACTAATGTTGGAGAATGGTCCCTGGTTAAGTGGTCCCTGGTGAAAAAAGGTTAGGAACCATAGATAGATAGATAGATGAGATGAGATGAGATATAGAGAGAGCAAGGGATATTCTAAACGTAAATTTAAACCAAGTAGTTGGTTGCACCCCAGGGATCTGAAAACAAGGAGGCCTTACTCAAGAAATCTGCAATACTATCATGCTTATTAGGGTTTAAAGCAGAAAACATATGGAACCTGATCACCAACTGATTTAAGTCTTGACAAGTCTTTGTAAGCATGTGCAAAAAGTATAATTCCCCTCATTCTCTACAGAATGCATATGGTCAATGTTGAAAAAGTTCCTAAAAAAAACCCTATGACTCCAAAAAATCTTTCAGTCAGGACAACTGCAGCCCCATCTATATTGCAATTATAATACAGATTGAACTGGATTATATGGCAGCGTAGACTGTGGCCCCATCCAGTTTCACATAATCCAGTTTCTGAATCCAGACAATCTGCTTTGAACTGGGTTATATGGCAGTGTAGACTCAAACAATCCGGTTCAAAACACTGAGTTCAAAACACTACCTCTGAGGATGCTTGCCATAGATGCAGGCGAAACGTCAGGGGAGAATGCCTCTAGACCATGGCCATATAGCCTGAAAAAACCTACAACAACCCAGTGAGTCCAGCCATGAAAGCTTTCGACAATACAGTTCAAAACAGATAATTTGGATTAAGGAAATTGATTATATGGCAGCGTAGACTGTGGCCCCATCTACACTGGCACATAATCCAGTTTCTGAATCCAGACAGTCTGCTTTGAACTGGGTTATTTGGCAGTGTAGATTCATACAATGCAGTTCAAAACAGATAATTTGGATTCAGGAAATGGATTATATGGCAGTGTAGATTCAGCCTCAGATTATCCAGTTCAAACTGCATTACACGGCAGCATAGATGGGATGTTTTGGTCCGAAACCTTTTCCAGGTCCTGCATCCAATCCCATGTTTGTCAGACACTTGATGAATGTCAGCATTGAGATTTAAATAAAGAGGAAATTGGTAGAGTTCTACCGACTAAAAGAGACATCAAGATACTTCTTTATTAACAAGAAATAGTGAGCACAGCTTTATTACTCCAAAAATGAGAATATATTAATTTAAGATTGGCATTTATAGGTGCTGATGGCATGCATTAGACAACATAGCAGGGGAAATACATTAGTTATGTTTAAAGCACATTAAAAAAAAAACCCAAACATAGACATTTGAAACATAAGCATTTTATACAGAGGACTATCCTTCCTGATTCATGGCTTCACGTGCTAATTTGCCAAGGTAATCCTTCCCAAACTGGTACCCTTTATATACACTGGGCTACTATTCCCATTATCCCCACTGCATCTAAAACATGCCAGTTTGGGGAAGACTATTCTCAGAAAAGGAGTGCACCCGAATTCAATTAAATCAGGCTGAATCATTATCTGAAAGACAAGCTATTTCACTTCAAATGCAGGTTTGAAAACTACTACAGCAGTGTTTCTCAACCCCTGGAGGGAACGTGAGGGGGGTGTCAGAGGGGTCGCCAAAGACCATCAGAAAACACAGTATTTTCTGTTGGTCATGGGGTTTCTGTGTGGGAAGTTTGGCCCAATTCTGTCATTGGTGGGGTTCAGAATGCTCTTCAATTTTAGGTGAACTATACATCCCAGTAATTACAACGCACAAGTGTCAATGCTTATCTTCTCCAAACTCCACCAGTGTCCACATTTGGGCATATTAAGTATCTGTGCCAAGTTTGGTCCAGATCCATCATTGTTTGAGTCCACAGTGCTCTCTGGATGGAGGTGAACTACAACTCCAAAACTCAAGGTCAATGCCCACCAAACCCTCCAGTATTTTCTGTTGGTCATGGGAGTTCTGTGTGCCAAGTTTGGTTCAATTCCATCATTGGTGGAGTTCAGAATGCTCTTTGATTGTAGGTGAACTATAAATCCCAGCAACTACAACTCCCAAATGACAAAATCAACCTCCCCCAACCCACCAGTATTCAAACTTGGGTGTATTGAGTATTTGTGCCAAATTTGGTCCAGTAAATGAAAATACATCAGATATTTACATTACAATTGATATCAGTAGCAAAATGACAGTTATGAAGTAGCAATGAAAATGATTTTATGGTTGGGGGTCACCACAACATGAGGAACTCTATTAAGGGGTCGTGGCAATAGGAAGGTTGAGAACCACTGTACTACAGTCTCTGGGTTGTTGTGGGTATTTTTGGGCTATATGGCCAGAGGGGAAACAATCTGGGACATCTAATCACCTCTCAACAAAAGATTGCCCAGGCACTGCCAGGCCATCAAATGCTAATCAAGGTGGTCATTGAAACATTCACACCTAGCTCCAACAGACAGGAGTCCTTTCTCCCACCCTGGTCATTCCACAGATATATAAACCCCTTTTTCTAGTTCCAACAGACCTCACTACCTCTGAGGATGCTTGCCATAGATGCAGGCGAAACGTCAGGAGAGAATGCCTCTAGAACATGGCCATATAGCCCAAAAAACCTTACAACAACCTATTGTCAAATTGCAAGCCTTCGACAATACATTATTACAGTCTCCTTTGGCGTTTTTAGAAAAGCAAGCCAAAATTTTCTTTTCTGGGCATCTTTTCCTTGTCCATTTTTATTCATGTTAAGCGCAAAAGGAAAGTCAGTCTCGGTGTCACGCAAATACTCCTGAATTCAAAGACTGGTATCCATTATTTTCTCTCTTGCAGGCCAGCATGCAGACGCTCAGCATCCCGAAGAACTGAAATGGGAAAACAATTGATATTGTAAGCAAGGTTCAAAGTGTTTAGATCCACAATGCAGAAAAATGTACAGTTCAAAAACTATTTAAAAACCTTCTCTCAAACTGGGTTGTTGTAGGTTTTTTCGGGCTATATGGCCATGTTCTAGAGGCATTCTCTCCTGACGTTTCACCTGCATCTATGGCAAGCATCCTCAGAGGTAGTGAGGTCTGTTGGAACTAGGAAAAAAGGTTTATATATCTGTGGAATGACCAGGGTGGGACAAAGGACTCTTGTCTGCTGGAACCAGGTGTGAATGTTTCAACTGATCACCTTGATTAGCATTTGATTGAGGTAATCACCTCTCAACAAAAGATTGCCCCAGGCACTGCCAGGCCATCCAATGCTAATCAAGGTGGTCAGTTGAAACATTCACACTTAGCTCCAGCAGACAAGAGTCCTTTGTCCCACCCTGGTCATTCCACAGATATATAAACCCCTTTTCCTATTTCCAACAGACCTCACTACCTCTGAGGATGCTTGCTATAGATGCAGGAGAAACGTCAGGAGAGAATGCGTCTTGAACATGGCCATATAGGCCGAAAAAACCTACAACAACCCAGTGATTCCGGCCATGAAAGTGTTTTAAGCAGTTTACTTCTCTGCTACTAACTCACTTCTTTAAAACACCTTTAGAGTTAGTTAAGGACTAATATGAGCCTGTTTTCCTGCTGCAATTATGCTGATTTCATTATGGAAGCATACCAGTTTTGCATCCATTTTTATCACACTTACTCCACATTAGCACTGCTTTGGTGATCTGCCATTGCGTGGTTGTTTTCCACACTTTCTCCATAGCACCGCTTGCTGACTTTATATGCCCTACGTTGCACATGTATCTTTAAACTTGGAGCATACCTTCACAATGGCGAAACCAAGGATGACGACCATAGCGTAGCTAAGAACGCTCTTTAAGACTGATTCCAGTTTGTCTTCACAACCCTGCAGGGACACAGAAAGGGAATTGTGGCACAGTTCATAATACATCATACCATTTCCTCCACAATGAAGAATAAAAGAACTTAAAGCAGATTGTACAGTTATTGTGAATATGGTCAAGCTGGAGATCCCCCTCAAAGCTGTCAAACTGGGGGCACGTCCAGACAGACCCTATATCCCAGGATCTGATGCTAAGTTTTGTGTTTATCCCAGCTTATCTGGCAGTGTGGACTCATATAATCCAGTTTAAAGCAAAAAAAAAAAAAACCCAAAAAACTGGGATCAGATCCTAGGATATAGGGCCTGTCTGGAAGGGACCCAAGTAAGCAGCCTTTATCTTAACCCTATTGAATCCCAAACAGGTGTCTTCTCAGGGGTAATCCACATCAGAAAAATAATCTAGCTTCAATTTAGAGTGCTGCTCTGGAACTGCTTCATATCCCCTCTCCTTTAGCACCACATGTACTAGTAATAGATGTGGCTCTTAATGAGACATGCCGCATTATCACAGGGTGTCTGCGCCCTACACCACTGGAGAAATTACACTGCTTAGCCGGTATTGCACCACCTGACATCCGCCGGGAAGTAGCAGCCAATAGTGAAAGGACCAAGGCAGAGACATCTCCAGCTCATCCCCTGTTTGGGTATCAACCAGCACATCAACGACTTAAATCTAGAAACAGTTTTCTAAGATCTACAGAGACACTCGCGGGAACACCTCAGCAAGCGAGAGTCCAAAAGTGGCAGGCTCAAACCCAAACCTCAACCAATGGCTGATACCAATGAGAGACTCCCCCCTGGGCACACAGAAGACTGGGCGACTTGGAAGGCGCTGAACAGACTGCACTCTGTCACCACGAGATGCAGAGCCAACCTCAAGAAATGGGGCTACCAAGTGGCCAGATACTGGTCAAAGGACGTTTAATCAACTACCAAACTCGCAAATTTTGTATTTTCTCTGTTTGTTTGTTTTGTTCTGTTAGAAATGTAATACAATTGACTGGTTGCCCTGACACAACAAATGCATACTAGTAATAAGCAACACTGACTGCAATCTTGGTGCAAATGAAGGAAACAAGAGGAAATACAGGCAGCCAACCTTCCACATTCACTGGGGTCAGGGGCACATGGCCACCATGATATTTTTTTGTGTGTCGGGAGCAACTTGCAAGCCACTTCTGTTGTGAGAGAATTGGCTGTCTGCAAGGACGTTGCCCAGGGGACACCCAGATGCTTGATGTTTTACCAACCTTTTGGGAGGCTTCTCTCATGTCCCCAAATGGGGTAGCTGGAGCTGACAAAGGGAGCTCACCTGCGCTCTCCCCGGATTCGAACCTCTGACCTGTTGGTCTTCAGTCCGGCCAGCACAGGGGTTTAATAATAATAATAATAATAATAATAATAATAATAATAATACTTTATTTATACCCCGCTACCATCTCCCCAAGGGACTCGGTGCGGCTTACATAAGGCCGAGCCCAAAATACAACAATACACGCAATAACAATAATAATACAAGCAATTTAAAAACAACAAAACAATAAAACAATAACACAAGCATTATCAATAGGACAACACACTTTAAAATCTATGGGTAGGCCAAATGTAATTAAAATTAAAAGATTAAAAAATAATGCTGGACATGGGCGAAAAAGTGATGGGGCAGTTTGTGGGAACATACGAGCAGACCTAAAAACAATATAAAGTGCTATGGAGGACAAAGTGCTATGGCATCTTTATTCTGGGAAGGCACACTGGAACAACCACATCTTCAAGCTCCTCTTAAAGACTGCCAAAGTTGAGGCATGCCTGATGTCCTTAGGGAGTGAGTTCCAGAGTTGAGGGGCCACCACCAAAAAGGCCCTCTCTCTCGTCCCCACCGATCGCGCTTGCGATACAGGTGGAAGCGCGAGCAGGGCCTCTCCAGATGATCAAAGAGATCGTGTGGGTTCATATACAGAGATGCGGTCACGAAGGTAGGCGGGTCCCAAACCATTCAGGGCTTTGTAGGTAAAAAAGTGCACCTTGAATTGGGCCCGGAAAATGAATGGCAGCCAGTGGAGCTCCTTGAACAGGAGGGTTGACCGCTCCCTGTAAGGAGCCCCGGTTAACAACCTGGCTGCCGCCCGTTGAACCATCTGAAATTTCCTAGCCGTTTTCAAGGGCATCCCCACGTAGAGTGCATTACAGTAATCCAGTCTAGTTTAACCCATTGCACCACCGGGGGCTCCACCACCATGATAATAATAATAAAAAGAAATAAAAATGCTATTCTTTTTCGCTTGAGAGAACATATTTTTGGGAATCTCTAGGTCCTCCAGCACAACTCTGTGGTCAACTTCTACCAGAAATTAAGCACAGAATTGCTCTGGAGTTCCTGGAGATTTTTAGAGAATATATTAATCAAATCCATGAAAAAAATAATTTGCAAATTAGAGGGCCAACTCATGTGAAGACAAACAAAGAGGCATCTGGGAAGAGAGACCTGTTTAAGGGGAAGTTTGCGCCTGTGTTTCTCTTCAAGTGCCTAATAATACTGTTAGTACCATACAGTTCAGGGAAGTTGTTTGCTCTTACCTGCGCATTGAGAAATTGTGGCTCACTCAGCCGTCCAGTGCAGTTCTTGCCAACGTCTTGCTTGCAGCAACTCAAGGGCACAGTTTTGTTGCTGCCAGTGGAATTGTACCACTTGCTGCCAATCCAGTCTGTGTAATTGTGGATGCCACAGCACTGCAGCTGCAAGAACATCATGGCGAGATGAAACCAAAGCCAGCATTCACACCACTCACATTCAAAACATGTTGCATTTTATAGATCCTCTTAATAAATATCAGAGTCAAACTGAAAAAAATCACCATTATGTTTTTTGAAATATGGAATCAGACACTGTGCATTAGGAAAAAAAAATAGTGCAGTGACTTTCCAAAATGTTGATAAATGCTTTACTACAATGAGGATGCAATACCAGTCCTTACTTTTAATGAAGATTGTGTCATAATACACATTACAACACATAGCATACCCAGTGCAAGCATCAAAAGTACTCCTGAGCATCTCATTATGATCTTTTATAAATAGACACATTCCTTCATAATGAGGATGGGAATTACAATGGGTTGCTGTGAGTTTTCTGGGCTGTATGGCCATGTTCCGGAAGCATTCTCTCCCAACGTTTCGCCCACATTTTATGGCAGGCATCCTAAGTGGTTGAGGGGTCTGTTGGAAACTAGGCAAGTGGGGTTTATATATCTGTGGAATGTCCAAGGTGGGAGAAAGAACTCTTGTCTGCTTGAGGCAAGTGTGAATGTTGCAACTGGCCACCTTGATTAGCATTTAATGGCCTCACAGCTTGAAAACCTGGCTGGTTGCTGCGTGGGGGGATCCTTTGTTGGGAGGTGTTAGCTGGCCCCGATTGATTATTGTCTGGAATTCCCCTGTTATTTGAGTGTTACTCTGTATTTATTGTCCTGATTTTAGAGTTTTTAAAATACTGATAACCAAATTTTGTTCATTTTGATGGTTTCCTCCTTTCTGTTGAAATTGTCCAAACGCTTGTGGATGCCAATGGCTTCTCTGTGTAGTCAGACATGGTGTTTGTTAGAGTAGTCCAGCATTTCTGTGTTCTCAAATTAGAATGACCAGCAAACAAATCCTTCAGGAATAATTTATTGAGACTTATCGAGCAACTTTTTCTGGTTGTAAAACAAGATAAGCATCTACTAAACCAATGCTCTAATTCAGTAGTTCTCAACTCGGGGTACCCAGATGTTTATGGCCTACAGCTCCCAGGAATCAAAGCCAGTTTACCAGCTATTAGGATTTCTGGTTGTTGAAGGCCAAAAACATCTGGGGTCTCCAGGTTGAGAACCACTGCTCTAATTGATTTAAGTTTCTTCAATAATCATACTAAATACTAGCAACACTATGAATACAGTAAATTATGTTCTATCAGATGAGTCTATTTATTAATTTAATTCATTTGTGGCATTTGGTTCTCAGATTAAATGCAAGACAAGGTTCCCATATCTTGGATCTGTTAACAAATGCAGGAGCAGGAAGGTGCAGTATAACATCTTGTTTTGCAAGATTTTTTTGCCAGGCAGCACTAGGCAGCGTCTGCTTCCTCAAACCTGCTACTTACCTTTACCTACTACCTACCTAGTTCTCAACCTGTGACCCCCAAGGTGTTTTGTCCTACAACTCCCAGAAATTACAGCCAGTTTACCAGCTGTTAGGATTCCTGGGAATTGAAGGCCAAAACATCTGGGGACCCACAGGTTGAGAACCACTGTTTTAGTTGCTACATTTCCCACTCTAACATGTTCCTTCATTGATACTTTCTTGCCAGGCCAGATACTTCTTTGTTGCTATCTGCCCCAGATTTATTTATTTATTTATTTATTTATTATACTATATTCACTCCGGAGGCGACTCAAGGCGGTTTACATTTGGCAATCAATGCCCCACAAGATAAAATACAAAAACAATTACATATAGTATAAACCGTATAAAAACAATAAACAATAAACAATCAAAATCATAAAATACAGTTCTCAGCGTCTCATCATTAAAATCATTTCCCATCGCATCATCCTGTCATTTCATGAGTCTCAATTAATCAGTTATACTGTGTCTGCAAATGCGTGCTTGAACAGCCAGGTTTTAGCTCTCTTTCGAAATGTCAGGAGGGAGGGGGCTGATCTAATGTCCCCAGGGAGGGCGTTCCATAGCCGAGAGGCCACCGCTGAGAAGGCCCTGTCTCTCGTTCCCGCCAATCAGATCTGCGAAGAAGGCAGGACCGAGAGCAGGGCCTCTCCAGATTTCCACTGACCAGCAAATGTTTGGGGAGGGTGTGTGTGTGTTTCAGCATCTAAAAAGTGGGTTCGTGGGGGTGAGGTGCCACAGTCACTCATGTATGAGTTGAGGAAAAGCTCTGGAGTCAAAATTGCAGATTTTGCTATGGTCTGTGGATAAATCAAGAATCATAATGCAGACAGCAGAAAGCACCAGGAGGGCACTTCCCCAACCAGACATTCAAAAAACAGAAAGTCAGAATTGGTGCCACAATTGAGAGACTAGAGGGAATTGGTGCTTTTGTGAAGTTCTCCAAGGATGGCCTAAGTTCTCACCTTTTGTCACTCCATTAAGAGAAAGAGATGGTTTCTTTTCCGATAAGAATTAATGTACAGTATTTACACCAACTCCTGGATGAATGGATCTAGATTTTTTATTTTTTAACCAAAATTTCTACATGTATACATGACTATATAGGCTCCTCCTGACAAAAAATATGCTACATCTTCCTATTCCATATTCTGTTAACATTACAGACTTAGCAGCCCTGTCCCATATTCAGCCTAGCCATCCCATATCACAAAACACTACTATAGTATTGCAAATTGGTATGGAACCGATTCTTTTAATATGGTTAGGCTTTACTATCCACCTTTGGCAGAGCAATCCAGGTGATAAACACCTGGCATCATCTACTTTTCTAAGAAAGTATCAGAACATTCATGTTTCCCTTCCTTTTGGTCTGGCTGTGAGAGGCAGGCCAGAGTATTTATACTACTTTTGCTTCATTTTTCAATTCTTGGAGCTCAAAGAAGAAGAAGAAGAAGAAGAAGAAGAAGAAGAAGAAGAAGAAGAAGAAGAAGAAGAAGAAGAAGAAGAGGAGGAGGAGGAGGAGGAGGAGGAGGAGGAGGAGGAGGAGGAGGAGGAGGAGGAGGGAGAAGAAGAGAAGCTTGATGCTACAAACACATCTTTGGTAGTGTCCTGGTTGGGAACAGGGAAGAAGAAAACATGCTTCCAAGTATAGGGAAGCTGTATTGGCTTGGAGGACAATCCTTGGCGATCCATCTTACCACTGGTTGCAAGAAATTTGAGTTTCTATCACCTGTTTTTTAATTTATTTACAGTATTTATATTCCGCCCATCTCACCCCAAAGGGGACTCAGGGCGAATCACAGAACACATATACAGCAAACATTAAATGATTAAGCATACAACAGGTATATACATAGGCTTTCCCATTTTTCGGCATCTTTGGAGGCTATGCTCGGTTCCGGCCACAAGGGGGTGCATCTCCTTGCTAAAGAGCTTTTCTTTGTTCGTAAACTGCTTCCATTCTCTGATCTAAATGCTGTGCCTAAAATACCTCCCCAGTTTAACGAGATTCCTATTTATCTACTCACTTTTCTAACTGCTAGGTTGGCAAAAGCTGGGCAGAAGGTCACCCTGACCCAGGTTTTGAATTATCAACCTTTCAGTTGGCAAGATTTATTGAAGCTTGGTGATTAATTTGCTGTGCTAAAGCCCTGCCCTTTAAAATTGTAAAACACCATTAATAAGCAAAGCATTGTGTTTTGATATGATGACACTGATATGGCCAGATACATTAAATCGTTATCTCATATAGCGTTCTTTCCTATCATCTGCTTTCCTTCAAAAATTGAGATGGGATTGAATTTGGGACCTTCTGCATGCAAGTGCTGGCTCTGCTGACAGATCAATGCCCCTTCCCAGTATATATACACCTGGTATATAACACTCTTTATCATTTTGATAAAAGCCATGCCAATCTGCATAATCTTTGTAAAATGAAACAAAATATTTATCTTTCCAAAATTCACATAATAGATTATTCTACCAGAGGAGAAAGCTTGCAAGAGTAATGCTAAACATAGTTTCCTTACCTCCTGTTGTAGGTAATCTATAACATGGGACTCTTCTGTTTTCCCATCATAGGCACTGAAGGCTTGCTGCATCGGTTCGTGCATATCTGTTTTTATCTGCAGGAAGAAGAATGGTGTGTGTTTTTGACCAGAATAGTAGACACTCAGCAGCTAAAATAATTATACTCCCACTGCAAAATTAAGTGAATTAAAAAGCATGGGTCAATGTATTTTCCAGCCTGAAGAGAACCAAACAATCTTTCTCAACTGTGTGCTACCTGGAAAACTGAGCCTAATATAGAGAGAAATTCAAGGGTGGGTGAGCAGTCTGACTTTCAGATAGGGAAGTGTGAAGCTATGTACAAAGGCTAGGGCAAATCAGGCATTTTCCCTATCTTTGAACCAGCAGCAAAACACCCAGTAGCCCTGTCGCTACATTTGGAAAACAGAATGACTTGATGGCAAAATAGAGTTAAGTGATGCTTAGAAAAGTGAATAGAATAAAAGAAATTGTCAGTCTGCATCCCTGGGAGTGTCATGCTGTCTAGACTATAGGATTTTTTTTGGGGGGGGGGGGGGGGAGGAGAATAAATTGTTTTGATTGTTATGGATAAATCAATCAGGCCCATGTTTTGAGCCAAATGGGGATCCTATGTATTCATACTCCGAAATTAATATATGGTAAGTGAGAAACATTACCCACAGGCAGTATAAGGATATCGGACTGATCAGGTATAAAAGAAGAGCAGCTTCTCACCTTAGCAAGGGTGCATCCGCATTGTAGAATTAGTGCAATTTGACACCCCTTTAATTGTCATGGCACATTGCTATGAAATCATGGGAGTTGTAGTTTGGTGAGGTACTAGCACTCTTTGGCAGAAAAGTAAAAAAACCCTGTAAAACCTCAACTCCTACGATTCCTTAGCACCAAACCATGGCAGTTAAAGTGCTGTCAAACTACATTAATTCTACCATGTAGATGCACCTCAAGGCACTCTGCCTCCTGTGTGCAAAGATGTTGCTGATGATGATCTTCTGGGGAGGCCCTGCTCTCAACTCCATCAGCATCACAAATTTGTTTGGCGGGGACAACAGACAGGGCCTTCTCAGTGGTGGCCCCTCGGCTATGGAACGCCCTTTCTAGGGACATTAGATCAGCTCCCTCCCTTTTGACTTTCTGTAAAAAAGTCAAAACCTGGCTGTTTGAGCAGGTGTTTGAAAAGGCAGTGTAACAGACATAGGAATATGGAACAATTGGACTATAAGATTCGATTACGTCTTTATCTAGGAGACCAAATGATTTGCTTTTACTAATTTGTTATGGTCTTAATTTATATGTTAATGCTTTAAATGTTTTAAATGTTTTAATGATGTTGTTGGCATTGAATTGTTGCCTTGTGAACCGCCTCAAGTTGCCTATAGGCTGAGAGGGGCGGTATACAAATGTAGCAAATAAATAATAAATTAATTAAATGTACACACTCTCCAGGGTCCTTTCACACTTCACAAAGATGGCACTATCACTCCCCATTAATTGCCATGATTTAGGAAGGGACGTGTAGTATTCTCAACCAGAAATCAGGCAGAGTGCCTCACTAAACCACATATTGCAGGATTTCACATCAGTTAAATGTGGAGTCGCAGTGCTATAACTCTGTAGAGAGATAGGACCCCAGGTCCGGTATGACCCTATATGGCCTTCTTCCTTTGTTAACAAGTTCACAAGAATTCAGTGCCAGACACTGCACCCTGCTTGCATCATTGTCCCCAAAATCCACACAAATACTTTCACCCACCTTTCCTCTGTAAATAAATCCAAGGACAAAGGCGGACACTTCTGCAATGAAGATCACCAGGATAATGACCAGGAACTGAAATGAGAAGTGATGAAGAGAAACAGAGAGAGAAGAGATAAATGTTGACGGCTACATCCTCTTTTGGACAGATGTTTCACATATGTACATATTAGTCCCAAATCTGCACATGCCCACTTTCCTTGACTACTGGTTGTTTTCATGTTTGGTTTATGTTTTACGATGTCTTACATTTTATTGGTTTTATTGTTTTTATACATTTTTATTGTCCATCTGCAACACTCATGAAGTACTTCCGCATTCCCCGCATGCTTTGCTGGAGTCCTTTCTGCTGGAGTCTTTTTTATGGCCTCATAAATTAGTTAAATTAGCCTCCCCACACATAGGTGGTACCTAATTTTCCTACTTGACAGATGCAACTGTCTTTTGGGTTGCAAATGTCGACAACAAGTTACACAATTGGTCGGCCACTCACTCCGACCCGGGCTGCCTTTGAACTCGTGACCTTTTGGTCAGAGTGATCTTAATGCATCTGACACTCAGCCAGCTGCGCCACAATCACTCATGTTTTGTCCCAAACAATGTGGTCTGAAATCCTATTGATTATGAAGAACATAACTTTTAACAGCAGCATTATCTGAATCTACTCTGATAACATTATGTCACAAAATTTGGAAAAAAAATCTGTTACTGGTTTGAAAATATTGTTTCCTGTTTAATTGTGTAGTACTTACTTCGAAAGTAGCTGTTATACTCCAGAAACTTCATTTTTGTGGCTGCCACAAACTATGTTGAATTAGTTGAGATTCTCTGAGATATTCATTGAAAAACTATAGTAAAATATTCTGCAGGATGTCCCACAAAAACAAAGTTTTCGCACTTTAATAAACGTTTTCCGTGCTTTTATGACAGAACCAATTAGGAAATGACATTGAAAACCCAGGAAAAAAATCGTGTTACATAGTGTAATCTGTCTTTCCTTCTATTAATAGTCTAGGTATGAACGGGGCAGGAAAATGATGCCTAGAAAAGAAGTAGTTTGTCCCGCCAAGACAATACAATTATTGCTCGAGGCATTTTCAATGATGGATACAGATACTCACCACTCCCAGGCCAACTTTGGATTCTCGGATGGTAGCACAGCAGCCCACCAGCCCAATGATGAACATCACCACTGCCACACAAATGATGATGACTGCTGGCAGGAGGGCGTATTTGTCATGAAGGAACGGGTCATACTCCTTGTAGGTATTGAGGACATATCCTCCAACATAGGTGAGTCCAACTGCTGCAGTCTTGAAAATAAAAGTACAGTTCATGTCAACAAAGAGCTCAAATTATCTCTTTAGATCATAGTACCCATCTGTTTTGATGTTTTGTGTGCTTTCCTGACATTTTCAACTTATGGCATTCCTTTTATGGGGTTTCCTCGGTAATGTTTGCACAAGGAGTGTTGTCATTACCTTCCTCTGAGGTTAAGAGAGAGTGATTATTCTAAAAGGTAAAGGTTTTCCCTTGACATTAAGTCTAGTTGTGTCTGACTCTGGGTGGTGGTGCTCATCATTTCTAAGCCGAAGAGCTGGCGATGTCTGTAGACACCTCCTAGGTCATGTGGCCAGCATGTCTGCATGGAGCGCCATTACCTTCTCGCAAATGCAGTACCTATTGATCTACTCACATCTGCATGTTTTAGAACTGCTAGTTTGGCAGAAGCTGGGGCTGACAGTGGGAGCTCACCCTGCTCTCTGGATTCAAACCAACTTTTCAATCAGCAAGTTCAGCAGCTCAGCAGTTTAACCTGCTGCACCACCAAGAAGTTTCCTCAGTAATGTTTGTGCAGGGATGATTGACACTGCTTTCCTCTGAGGCTGAGAGAGTGTGATTACTCTAAGAGTCTCCCAGTTTATTTCTGTTATGACACTATGAGCACCATAATACACCAATATAAATCATAAAGCAGCCCACTTGAAAAATATTGCATGCAAATGTCCATGAACAAATATTTTAAGAAGACCAATTTGGAAGAAACCAAACATGTGAGAAGCAAGGCAGACTCATGTGACACAGAACATGATATCGATTTGTCATGTTACGGCTTTAAGACTTCCTCTTCTGCCCAAATAGCTTGGAAATCCCAGAACTTGTAAGAAACTCAAGTTGCAATCAATTCTATAGTAAAACCCCACTGAATTTTTTGTATATCTGAATTTACATATACGAGATAACTGCCCTTTTGAAAGGCCAGTTCCATTAAACAGTAGCCAATAAAGTACAGCTGGTATTTTCCCCATCAAAACAAACTTTCCCAAATGTTTTAAATGCAGATTTTGCCTATCAATCATCAACGCCTTTCCAGTATTTTGAGTAAATAGAAATTGTGTCATTTGGATAAATAGTTAGCCCTCCTACCTACAGGGTTTTTGTTTTGAAAATATTCAAAACAAAACACATTTCGTCATTTAATTTCAGGGACATCATTTCACTATGCCATTGTATATAACCTTTCCCTTTTCTCCCAGTGGCGCAATGAGTTAAACCTTTGTGCCAGCAGGACTGAAGATTGATAGGTCGTAGTTTCGAATCCAGGGAGAGTGTGCATGAGCTCCCTCTGTCAGCTCCCGCTCCCCATGCAGGGACATGAGAGACGCCTCTCACAAAGATGGTAAAACGTCAAAACATACAGATGCCCCCTGGGCAACGTTCTTGCAGACAGCCAATTCTCTCATACCAGAAGCAACTTGCAGTTTCTCAAGTTGCTCCTGACACACACACACAAAAGCTGCGAAACATTACACCATGCAAAACTCCAGCTGGGAAGGACTAAAAGCCCAGTCGTTAGTTTGATAATTTTAAATAGTGTTGGGGCATGTTTACAGCTTCACAAAATGCTCACAAAGTGATTGCTTTCCTAACAATTACAGAACCATAGCGTTGGAAAAGACCCATAAAGACCATCTAGTCTAGTTCAACCCATTCTGCCATGCAATCAAAGACACAATCAAAGCACTCCAGGGCATCTGGCCTCTGTTTCAAAAACCACAGGGAAAGAGACTCCAACTAGATCTACACTTCCATATAAACCAGTATCTGATCCCATTTTGAACTGGATTATATGAGTCCACACTTCCATGTAATCCAGTTCAAAGCAGATAATCTGGCATCAAAACTGGATTATAAGGCAGTGTAGATAGGGCCTCCATCACACTCCCAGACAGCTACATATTCCACTGTCAAATAGCTCTGAATATCAGAAAGTTCCAAGTAATGTTTTGGTGAAATCTCTTTTCCTGTAGTTTGAACTCAAATGATGCTGCTGAGTAATTCAGTAGTGCAGCACAAAAATACACAATCCCAGTCTCATTATAACAATTTAGGAGCAATTTGAGAGCAGTTCGAAAGAAAGCCATTGTGGAGCAGTGGTTAGAGAAGTGGTCTATCCATGTTGTTTTCTTTGAGCCATGAACCCCTTGGAAGATGCTAGTCCAGTCTCTCTCATCCTGAGCTGCCTCATAAGGCCATTGTGAGAAGAAAGTAAAAAGGAGGAAGAGAGCTATGCATGGCTGCCTTGAGATCATTAGAAGAAAAGCAGAAATATAAATAGAAATCATAAAATAAAACCACTAGTAATTTCAGCTTTGGAGGGGGATGGCTGCCTGGGGATGCCCAGAACATTTTTGTAATTTGTATTGATTGGTTAGACTTTGCTGTTTTTAGAATCATAGAGTTGGAAGAGAACTTGTGGGCCATCCACTCCAACCCCCTGCCAAGAAGCAGGAAAATCACATTCAAAGCATCCCCGACAGATGGCCATCCAGCCTCTTTTTAAAAGCCTCCAAAGAAGAAGCCTCCACCACACTCCAGAGCAGAGAGTTCCACTGCTGAACAGCCCTCACAGGAAGTTCTTCCTCATGTTCAGGTGGAATCTCCTTTCCTTTAGTTTGAAGCAATTGTTTTGCGTCCTAGTCTTCAGGGCAGCAGAAAACAAGCTTGCTCCCTCCTCCCTATGACTTCCCCTCACATATTTATACATGGCCATCATGTCTCTTCTCTTTTTCAGGCTAAACATGCCCAGGTCTATAAGCTGCTCTTCATAGGGCTTGTTCTCCAGACCCTTGATCATTTTAGTTGCCCTCCTCTGAACACAGTCCAGCTTATCAACATCTCCTTTCAACTGTGGTGCCCAGAATTGGACACAGCGTGATTCCAGGGTGGTCTGACCAAGGCAGAATAGAAGAGTAGCATGAATTCCCTGGATCTAGACACTAGACTCCTATGTATGCAGGCCAAAATCCCATTGGCTATTTTTGCCGCCACATGACATTGTTAGCTCATGTTCCCCTTCCTGTCCATGAGGACTCCAAAATCCTTTTCACACACACTGCTGTTGAGAGCCAGGCGCTCCCCATTCTGTATCTGGCATAGACACTGAGAACTAGGAAGCCCTGGCCCTTGAGCGCTCCAGTTGGAGGTCAGATGTGACCAGCAGTACTGTAGAATTTGAAAAGGCATGAATGGAGGGTGAAAGAGAGAAACGTGCCAAGAGGAAGGTGTGTCAAGCCAACCCCGACTGAGACCACCTTCCACCCGGAAACCAATGCCCTCAATGCTCCACAGTCACCTACGGACCCACCAGTACACTGATCTTGGAAGACTATCCTACTCAGACAACGAGGGATCGCCTAAGTAAGTTCTATAGTGGAGTGGAGAATCAAATATTGGCCTCCAGAGTCATAGAAAATGCAAGTGCCACTGATTCGGATCAGTACTATAAGGAGGAAGGACAACTTTGCTTTAGACAACCTATTGACTATACCCAAACACCCCAATGTTGTTATTAGTCCTCAGATGAGAGAACCTGTCATTTGCTAACATAGCAACTCACCCTGAAAATAAACAGTAACTTTGCAGGGATGACTGGGCATGGAGAGCTAAACACAATGCAAATATATCCATCAGGACAAACACACTGCAAGTCTTATATTGATTTTTTGCTACTATTTAAAAACATGCACACACCAGACAGTGTAAATCCATATATAACCTATACCTCCTAGAATTATAGAATCATAGAATCAAAGAGTTGGAAGAGACCTCATGGGCCATCCAGTCCAACCCCCTGCCAAGAAGCAGGAATACTGCATTCAAATCACCCCTGACAGATGGCCATCCAGCCTCTGTTTAAAAGCTTCCAAAGAAGGATTCTAAACAGGAGTCTCCTGTTGAGAATCCTCCAACAATTTTCTTTACCTGTTTCATGTCAAATCAATGTGAGCAGTCATACCACTTCTCAGGTAAGTTCATTTCTTTCTCTGCCAATTGATACCTATTTTTTGCACCATATTTCAATTATGACAGTCTAAAAGTGGATGTAGCTAACACTGTGCATAGTCTTGTGTGATGACCCAATGGATCCATACTACTCATATTGCCCATTTATTTCCATCCCTCAATTATCAATATGTCCATGCTCAGGCCCGTAGCCAGGATTTCGTTTCGGGAGGGGGGGGGCTAAAAAAATTTCAGGGGGGGGGTTCGGGGGGGGCTGAGTTTCGGGGGGGGCTGAGTCTGAGTGAAAGAGGGTCTAGCCTAGCAAACCTTTTGTATCATTACCCCAATACCCCCATGCATATGGGATATATTGAGTATGGTGATCAGATCATGATATGAATAAACATAACAGTTTAAATAATGCACCAGTAAGGCCTTTTCGCGAACCACCATGAGAATTGGGGGGGGGGCTGAAGCCCCCAAGCCCCCCCCCCCCCCGGCTACATGCCTGTCCATGCTGTATAAACACCAGAGGGACAGTCCCAATGAATCCTCTGCAGCCCCACTTCTTCAGCTGCTTTCAAAATGTTCCAGTTTTTGTCTCTTCCTCCCACTTTCCTCTTTAGTCCTCATCACATTCCATCTACTACAAACTGAGTGCTAAGTGTAAAAATACTTTGGCCTCCATTAGGCAGGGAGGAGGCAGAAGCATCCCCTTTACTGTCGATTCAGGCAAAAGCAAACTGAAATCCCTCCTAATACATTTTACCACCTTTGACCACACTCTGATCTTGCTTGGCCATGCATGTCTCAGTTTGTGAGATGTCAGAAGGCACATGCTGTATGATGTCTTAACAGCCAGGTGTGATCCTTATTTAGAATTTAAATCTTTTGCACCCTTCCCTCTTAGAGCTCATTAATACCTTGACTGCTTGGGAATACAAGCTATACTTTCCTCCCAGAAAAGCAGGTTTGCTGCAACTTACTCATCGCTCTATTTTTCACAGGTGAGAGGGAGGGAGAGGGC